CTTCCCCCCCCCGCCCCCCGTCCCACCCCTAGACTTTTAAAAACCTACAAGTAAAGAGCAGTTAAGGCCAGGGATCAGACAGGCATCAGCAGAATAACTACAAGGTCCTGCATTTATAATCAATTACCTGCAACCAGTAGCACAAAAGGACATGTTTAGTGAGCTCACCAGCTGGAAATCTCTCTTATCATTTAGCAGTAGCAACCACGGAGGTCCCCAGTCCTGCTGTGGACACAGGGTCAACGCCTCACACCACTCCTTGCAAACAGCAAGAGCCAGCCCTTGGTGCCACACCACGCACACCCCACTGGCTCTTGGGGCATGGCAGCAGCTCTGCTTTTGCTGGGGAGTCACTGCACCCAGCATTTCTTTGCAGTGCTGAACCAGAACAGATCAGCTTATGCATGCCCTGACTCTGCGAAGGACAGCCGAGCAACAGCAGTGAAAGCCATGTGAAAGGCATTGCGGCAAACCCCACTCTCTTCCAGGATAAGGAATGTGCCATTTTGAAGGGTACAATCTGGATAGTCCGGTCGACGATGTCTCATTACACCTCAGCAACATAGCGGGTTTATGCAATCAAATTAAGGCAAGCCACAGCTCACAGTGGGAGAAAAACAACATGGAAAAACGCACACATGGATACGAATGTAGACATCCGAGATTGCGGGCAACCTAATAGCAATTGATGCACAATAAATATGGATGAGGAAATCTGTCAGTTTAACTAAAAGATGTGCCTGTAAATTTTGTACTGTGCTCCCCAAGAGAACAAATCCCAGGGATATTTTAGGGTGTATAATATTTAAAGATGACAACAAGCCTATGTATGGCAGGCCTGTCCAGGAGACCGCGGAGAATGCAGCAAAGCCGGGAAGCTTCTTGCAAGCACCGTGAGGACAGAAGGCAGCATTTGGCTGCTGATAAACCAGCTGCTCCCACCAGAACTTGGGAGGAAAGGTGTGAGGCACCAGCAGCAGCTACCACTGCAGCCTGCCCTTGCTCCTGCTCAGAGACAGCAAAAGCTCTTTTGAATTTGCTTTTCCCGGCTCCTGTGCTACATGTGTCAAGGAGCTGCCACGCTCAGATGCAGCAGGAGCATCAAGTGGACCCTGGAAGTAATTTAACACCCCATAAAGCTGTCAACAGGAGCAAAGCCACAAGCCAAGACAGAGTAGCAAGTCAGAAGGCACGAGGCACCAGCGTGTAAACAAAACTAGGCTCTGTAATGCTCAGCTCACCTTGTGCTTTGCCAAAGCAGCTGCTGAAACTCAGCTCCTCCATCCGCATGGAGCAGATCCTGAAGGACCTCAGTGCTTGCGTGCAGAAGCTCGTAGGTGAGCAGCTTCCCAGCCGGTGTGAAAGGTGGATACTCCAGATACATCTCTCAGCCTTCCAGGACCACGAGGTCCGAAGCTGAACCCAGCAGCGCCCATATTCACAAGGCAGCCACAAGCGGAGGGGCTGGTTCAGTCTCCAAAGTGGAGTCCCCCCATCTGTCAGCATCTCTCTGCTGGGATAGGCAAGCATGTAGCAAAGGAATGCCATCCCCTGCAGACCTGCTCTCTTCTACTGCCAGGACTCACCTTCCATCCCAAAGTCCTCCGCATCCTCCATGGGTGTTTGCCAAGCATTGGTTCATAGGTAGGTGGGAGGGAAAAAGGATGCTGTGGTCTGCAGAGCCTCACTGGTATGTATGTGAGGCTTTTGGGACAAAATGCACTTCCACCAGACACAGGACCATCTCAAAGATCGACATTGATCCATAACCAAAGGCAAAGCACGTCCTGGTTCTAATATTGCTTCTAATCAAAAGAAAAAATCTGATATGACAGCAAAACTCCTGCTTCTGGGAGGTCTGGGAAATTCCCCTCAGGCTCAGCCCGCATAGATTATTTCAGGAGCTATCTAAATACCGAGGAGCTGACAGCCCAGGATTAAGTTTATGGCACACGTTTGTACAACAGTGCGTCGGTCCTGAGCGTGCTGGGGCAGACATGCACACACTGTTGCTGCATCCCAACTGCTCCCCCACCCTGACTGCTGTCCCACTGCAAGCGCTGCTGCCCAGGGACGGCCCGGGGTCCCCTGCTTGGGTTGGAGCCCAACAAGCCTGCACAAAGTCCCGGGCACAGTCAGGCCATTGGGCAGAGCAGTGTGCAAGCATGGCGGCCACATTGCCCAGGCAGGGTCCTGTGGTGTGCGTGGAGCAGGTTTCTGGCAGCGTCCTTCCAGCAACTCGCTTTCCTGATCCCTGGGATCAAAATGTAGGAGCTATGAATTATTAAAGGTCTTCAGTCCTCTTCTGCTAGCTCCCAGACTGCTGCGCTGGAGATGCAAGATAAAAATAAACCTGGGTGATAGAAGAGCAGCTAAAGGGTGCTGCCCTCTACTCAGAGGTCTGGTTTAATGGTTTGATATTTCCCTGCAAAAGGAAAACTTGATCACAACCGCTGCCTAAAAATAGACTTTGCTATCAGCATCTGGGCTGCTCCTAAGCTGTGGGGCCAGAGGAAACACAAGTTAAAATCAGAGGATGGCCCACTGTCCTCTGCGCAGATGCCTGACAGTAAACCCAGCCTGCTCCTGCAAACAGGATTGAACCACTGGGGCCAAAGGGCTGCTGTCGTATAAACCAGAATCCCCATGGGGATTTTCCCCATGACTTTCACCCAACAGCAAGTTTTCCATCCAAGCCACCCAAGGAACCCCAAAGATGACCTGCTCTTGGCTGCGGACTTCTCAGGCTGGCCTCCTGCCTGGTGTTCCCCAGCTTTGTCTCTCCATAAATAGCCCTGCGCAGCCCCTTGGGTCAGCAATTCAGCAGAGCTGTCGTAGCGCATCAGCCTGATGGAGCGGAGACAAGCCGGAGAGCCACCACAGCATCCTCCCCTCCTGCCTGGCTACCCTGGGGAAGGGCAAGGCAGGAATGGGGCGAGCTCAGCACCGGGGGAAAGGTGGCCTTCCCAATACAGCACTTGCCTTCACGTTGGGCAGGGAGACAAGCTGCAGTCTTCACCCTCACTGTGTAACTGGGGACAGGCATTTGCAGGATAAAAAAAGAAAAAAAAAAAAAAAGAAAAAAAAAAAAAAGAAAAAATGAAAAAAAAAAACTAAAAAAACCCCAAACCCAAAAAACAACACCAGCTGGATTCGATTCCATCGAAATAAAT